TTTTTTGAGGGGAGGGGCAGTGATGGCCAAGGCTTACTCTTGGCTCTGTATTCAGGGATCACTCCTGGTAGGCTCGGGGCTGACCTGAGTTTGATCCCCATCAGCTCATATGCTCAACTACATGCATGTCCGAGCCCTTTACCCACTGTGCTCTATCTCCGTACTCAAAGCTATGTACTTTTTTTTCTTTCTTTTTTTTTTCTTTTTGGGTCACACCCGGTGATGCACAGGAGTTACTCCTGGTTCATGCACTCAGGAATTACTCTTGGCGGTGCTCGGGGGACCATATGGGATGCTGGGAATCGAACCTAGGTTGGTTGCGTGCAAGGCAAACGCCCTACCCGCTGTGCTATTGCTCCAGCCCCCTCAAAGCTATGTTCTACAGGAAACATTCAGGAAACCTCAATAAGATCACGTATATCTATCCTTTCACTAATTCAGCAGTTGGACAGTGATGAGGGCAAAATGGACCAATCAAACAAAATCTTTAAAATTTCAAACACCTGGCAGTGCTCAAATGTTAGTCCAGAATCTGTGTTCAGGAGTCACTCCTGGTAGGGCTCAGGGAACCACAGAGTGCCGGGGACGGAACCTGAGCTATCCATGCTATCCACATGCAAGCACCCTTCCCAATACTAGCTGGCCCCATATTTTGCTTTTGCTGTTCATGCTTCTTTGACTCAGTCTACCATGTGGATGTGAGTTGAAATCACAGCTTCTCTTTGCCCCGGGCTAATTCTACCCTTAGTTTGAGAAATAGCAGCATTATAAGGATATTCCAGGTTTATTTGTTCATTTAAACGGTTATTCTTTTCATACCATAGCATAGAAGGAATAGAAGCTGTTATCTGCTACAATGATCCAAAGTCCCAGGCTGTAACAGTGTTCTGGAAGGTTCAAACACCAACAGAGATGGTTAAAGGTGTCACGCCACACAACCCAGCACACACAGCATGAAGTTATTTTCTTCACTGGAATAATTTCATGTGCACCCAGAAGAATCACAGCACACCAGTGCACACTGGAAGCAGCCTTAAAGAGACAGTGCCATGTACCCTCACAAGAACATTCTAGAATAATTCCACTAAACACATCTATCATTCTCTGTAAAAATATCTGGATTTCTTTTTTAAAAAGCATTAAAAAAAGAAAAGCATTTGGTTAAAATCATGAGCATGTATGTGTGGGGAATACTTTTTCTCTTTAAATCCTCTAAATGGTACATTATTATTGTATTTTAAAGGTTTTTAATTCTTGGTGCAGTGATGGCTACACAATGCTGTCAAGATACTGGATTGTATTTTTTTTAAAGCACATGATAAATTGTACACTTGAAAGAGGTAATTTATATCTAAATAAAGTTGCTATTTTGATTAAAAGTAACTTTTTTAAATTGAAACACTACATTATGGAACATGGAGAGAAAGGAAAAGTGTACTTTCTGCTCAATTTTACCGTGATCCTAAAACTGTCCTAAAAAGTTTTTTTTTAATATTAAGAAAAAAAACCAATGCATTCTTTGTTGACTTCATATTAATTTTAGGTTAGAAACTCTGGAAGGCAGTAAAATATACAAAAATCTATGCATGACAAGTCTCTTTGCAACCCTGGTTTCTGATAGTAATATCTAGTGAGCGGACAGCTGAAAGCGGCTTCTCAGCGTACCAATAAAATGAGTGTCAAACATATTTATTACTAAACTCCTGGGTGTCTCCTAGGGCAGCTCAGACCTTGTGGAGAGTGATCTGTGTTCCCAATAAGTTTTTTAGAATGAGTAGTATCAATACTGGGAAGGAGAGTATCATTAAGGATACTCGTCCCTTTTTAATTTTGGCTCAGCTGCTGGATCATGAGTAATGAAAGTTTTTGTGCTGAACTGTTTTAAATTAGAAAAAAAATAAGCTCAGGGTAATTTAAAAGCTGCAGAGAATAAACGAATTCCATTTATCACCAGTGTGACATAATGGAGGAGAACATTGGGCACTCTTAGAAGTTTCCCTCTAAATTCAAAAAGAAAAGAACTTGCAACAATTAGGTATCAAGGATGCTAAAGAAGAAAGCAGAGTTTACTGCAGTGAATTTGGAAAACCCAAATTTTGGAATGCTTTTGGAATTGCGATTCTTTGGAAGGAAGTAGGAAAATAAAAATCCATTTTTATTCCCAGGATGCATGGAGCAACACAATTATTGCTGTATGATGGAACTGTGTTCTCCTGAAGGAGTTGCTACAACCAACTCTGAAAGTCAGAAGTTCCCATCAACTGTCAGTGCTCTGAAATATAACCTTGAAACGAGGAAGAGATCACCTCTGCATGCAAATAAAATTTCTGTATGGGGCTTAGGGGGTGAGGCATCACTCGCACTGACATTGATGAGACTCCACAGTAAAGACATGACCAAATGTCAGGTTACCTCTAACCAAGTCTGAACCTCACACCTATACTTCCATGTGGAAAACATGAAAAAGAACGAACCAATATTTGTCACAAAATCTTGGCATTTCTTGGACCCTCGGTTTGCTACTTTGCTAGCAATTTTATGGGGCCCACCTCACTCAAGTGGCTTTTTGGATCCTTGCTGATGTTAAATCATATCACACTACAACATTTTATAAGTTTTAGGTGTGCATCATTTTTAAAATCAGCATGTGTCTACAGTGCATTATATTCACCACTAGAAGTCCAATTGTATCCTTCCGTGTAGAAGTCACCCGTTTTATGAGATTCAGCCTGCCCACATACCCCCTTCCTGTCTGGAAACCACTAATGGGCCTTATGGCCTAAAAGTTTATTTTTATCTTACTAAGTTTATCTGTTTGTTTTCAGAACCAAGACCAATATCCAGGACTTAAGTGAGCACAAACTCCCTTTGCCAGAAGAGATTTCTCCCCTATTCTTGTTGAGGTTTCTGGTCAATGGGCTGCACAATCTCTTATGCCCCCAAGAAACGACAACGTTAAAAACAGGTGGCAGGTTGACTGCATATACAAGTATGTGTATAGTTTTCCTATTCCAAAAGTGAAATCTCATAAATCTGTGGTTTGGGTTTGCAACAAATAGGTATCAAGGATGCTTGGTAAATTTGAGAAGTCAACTCTGTTATATCCCAAGTAACAAATAATTATTGGCACCGTGAAGAGGGATTACACAGTAAAGTGTATTTGTGATTTATAATGAGGAAAAAGAAGAAAGTCAGTGGAGAGTATTGTAAGCGGGAAAAATGATATATTTTCCAAAAATTTTGCTCTTCAGAATGAGGATATAAGGAGGTCTCATAAGACTTGCTACCTCCCTAGGGGTGTAGTAAAAGCGTCAGAATGAGTCACAGGAAATTATTAGGGAGCCAGGCTCTCACAGATGCTCTGTAGGGTCAGACTGGCCAGCATGGTGAGTTGATAGGGGAGGGGAACCTGCAGCAGTAATGAAGGAGAAAGGGAATTCCAGTGCAGACCATGCAGAATGTCTTCCAAAGCTCTCATTTATTCTCTTTCTCTCTTACTTTTAAGCATTCTTTTATTGGAGGCAAGGGTTTGGAGGCCATATCCAGTGATGCTCAGGGGACACTGGACTCAGGAGTGACCCCTGGTGGTTCTTGGGTGGAGGGGGACACATGACAAGGGAAGAAATGGGATTGGCGGGATGCAAGGCAAGTATCGTAGCCCTTTACTATCTCTTTGCCTCTCATTTATCCTCATTTTACTTATTTATTTGATATTGGGGTCATATCCAGCTTAGAGGTTACTCCTGACTCTGCACTCAAGAATTACTCCTGGTGGTGCTTGAGGGATTGTAGGAGATGCTGGGGATTGAACCCGGGGGCGCTCCAGCCCTTATCCTCATTTTAATTTGACTTTCTCCAAGTGAAATGTGCAAACCAACCAAATCAAATATTTTAACCTATTATTTATTTATTTTGTGGTGCTCAGTATGGAACCCAGCATCTCACTCTATTTATTTTGAATAGGAGAGAAATCTGTTCGGGGGGGGGGGGGGGTGGTGTATACAAATCCTTTCTCTTTGCCAAGAAAGCTGAAGTGCATTTAGTATTCAGGAGTTTCTGTGTAACTCATATGGGCATGGTATGTGGGGGGAAAGACAATGTAAAATGGGAATCTAAAATAAAAATGTTTTCATTTTTTATAAAAATTGATGTTATTTTAGAAGTCAATGCAATATATTAGGTTATTCTTATTTACCACTGAGGATAACTAAATGCTATACCTATCAGTATAAAAACTTATAAATGAAAGTAATTTGAATGGATGACTTTAAAAATAAATATTGAATAGAAATGTAAATTGCTTGTGATGCCTCAAAATTATTACTAGTAAACTGAGATGTAATAAAATGGAGAAACTGGGTATATGGGATGGTCTTTCCCTCTCAGGAGCCCTTCTGACTTAGAACACTTTTGGTGCCTTGGCGGATGGAGAGATAGAACAGGGTGAAGGCACTTGCCTTGCATGTGGCCAACCTGAGTTCAATCCCAGGCATCACTTATGGTCCCCTGGGCACCGCCTGGGGTGACTGAGTGTGGAGCCAAGAATAAGCCCCAAGCATAGCTGGATGTGCCCCCTTCGACCAAACAAAATAAACCCCGTTTTTTCAAAATAATATTCTGCCACCCCCTTTCATGTTTTTAATCATCCCTTCTTATTAGCTGCCAAATCTAATTTTCTTTACCACCCTCCTTTAGACTTTATTGCTCCTTTTGCTTATGTGGTAGAAAACAAGGTAATCCAGTCTGAAGGATGATAGAGGGAGAAAATCATCAGGTCCAAGTACAAGCTAAGATGCACCCCCAGGTGGGGGAAGACACCTCTTTTGCCACCTCTGCTTTATTTTGCTGACTTCCGGGTAGTCCCTTATAATCACGGAAATTTCAGTTACCATATTAGTTATTGAAGGTTAAATCCAGATATTTTTGATTCAAAGACAACAGTAAAAAGATGGCTTCTGTCTCTTTAATTTGCAACCCAGTATAGCCACATGGTACCATACCTGGAACATCAGCACTCAGAGCCTCGTTATGGACATTCTGTGTAAGTTTAATTTCCTCCATGGCCATGATTTTGTTAAATGTGACTGAAATGAAAAGTACAGCATACAAGCTATAAGCACAAGGTTTATGAAAGTGGAATAAAAAAAAGTGCCACACACTTAATACAAGCAATTCTGTCCATCTTTTACTTCCATGAAAGAAAGCTTGGTCCTTCCCATCCCGCTCCCACATCTAATAATACCCAACAGATGCAGGGAACAGTGATGCCTGTAATAAAACCAAAATTACGAGGGCATTTCACAGTCTATAAAATGGCACCTTCACTGAATACAGCCTATCAAATTTCTGACCCCTGGCCAGAGAGGGGAAAGGAGCTTAATTCTCATCCTAAAAAAAGGAAAAGTTGGATTAGTTCTGGAAGGGCTTTCCTTCTTAAAAAAGAATAATGTCAGTGTTTATCCTCAGTAAAACTGTATCATTCCCACACTTCGCAAAAAAAAAAAATGTATTTTGTCACATTTTCAGCCCTCTTGCATTTACTCTGCTTCAAACACTTGCTGATCTCCAAAGACTAGTATTTGCTTAACTTTTTAAAAAATTTTCATAATTTTCAAAATTTTTTAGGAGAAGGGAGCAGATCTATAGAACACAGCAGTAATGATCTTTATGATAATGGTGCCTTATTTTGTTTCTGTGTTAACTTTTGATTTTTATGTGTGTGTGTTAAATTTTTATGTGTGTGTGTTAAATTTTTAAGTATCCCTTGCACGTGTCCATTCTCATTGTGGTTGTTTATCAGGAAAAATATTATTCCGTATTGAAAAGCTGAAGAAAAATTATGTTATTTTGGTTTGGGATCCACCTCTGCAAGTGGTGAGGACCATGAAATACTAGGAATCAAACCCGGAGCACCTGCACACAGAACATGGAAACATTTCCGTGAACATAAGGTTAAACTCTATCTTCCTGGTCTGCCCCGTGTAACACATCTTAAGTGCTGTTTGTTTGTTTAGAGGGGCCACATACTCATGTGCTGAAACAGGATTGAGGAACCCGGATCACTCCTTGTGATGATCAGCCTGGGTGGAGGGAAGTGGGGGATCTGATGGCGCCTCAGTGATGGATCTGATGCAGTGATCCAGAGGAGGGTATCTGACGGATGCTTCAGTGCTCCAGTAAGGCAGTACTGCTTGGACTGCTTGGAATACATGCTGCTTGGGGGGCGGGGGGTACGTGGTGCTGGAGCTGAACTTGGGGACTCACATGCTAGCATCAGGGTGACAATCTCTCCTGTCACCCACCCCACCCAACCCAAGGACAAACTTGTTCCTGCACCAGGAAAACAAGACTAGACTTGGTTGGTCGCATCATTATCCCAGTAATACCAGAAGTATGAACTGGGTTTCTAGTGCTACCAAGTATTTTCTGGGAGGAATGTCCAAGAAGTGCCCAGGGAAGTGGGGGGCTACTCCCAGAGATACCTGGCCAGGCTGTTGAGTCGGACAGTCCTGTGCTGGGGTCTGGTGATGCAGTGCTGGGAGCCACCAGGGCCACATGAGAGGTGCTCAAGTGACTATGTGGTGCTGAGGGCCAAACTCAGGAACTCTGTGTGCAAGGCTTGCCACTAAGCCCCCTGGGCTACTTTACTGGCCCAAGAAAGTCTTAAGAACAATAAAAATATCATACTTTGTCTCTAATAAATAAAAACAGGTGCTTCAAAAATACACAGGTAGAAACAGAGAGAGAAGAGAGGTGCCTGCCATAGAGGCAGGCTGAGGTGGTGGGTGATTTGGAGGGGGTGGGGTGGGACAGAAACTGGGGACATCGGTGCTGGGGAAATTACACTGTGGAAGGATGAGTGTTGGAACATTGTATGACTGAAACCCAATCATGACAGCTTTGCAATGTTCTATCTCTCGGTGATTCAATAAAATTAAAAAAATAATATTTTTAAAAAACACATAGGTGGAGCTAACCAAAGATAACATAAAACCTCTCTTCCCCCCCACTTCCCCAAACTCCTCTTAAACGTTTCTTTCAGAGTATTTTTCTGCAGGTTTAAGTTCAGTATTTTTCTGAACTTAAACTTGGTGCCCAGCAGAGATGAGGAAAGCCCAGAAGTGTTTGGCTTTTTTCCCCTCTCCTGGTAAATCTTCCAGTGGCGAGGACAGCTTTTCCCATTGTCCCTTGGCCCTCTGAACTCCAGTGCAGAAACAGCATCTTTCTAAAACACCCTCAATACCAGCTCTGTGTGCCCAGATAGAAGCAAAAGACTTTGTTCTGAGAGTAAGGAGAGGGGAGGTTCTCTCTGTGCTGGTGTTAGCTTCCTGTCTGGTGTCCACTTTGGTCTCTTTGTTCTGTGTAAGCCTATACTCCAGGGCAGTGTCTTCCTGCAGGAGGCAGTCAGCATCGATCTGCTGAAATGGTGAAAGGATCATGCAAGTGAAATCTTAGCTACTCCACAGTCAGTTTAGAAAAGAAACAAAAATCTTCAAAAAAAGTATATGAAGAAGAAAGAGAAGATAGAAAGAGGTGATAGGTTAGCTGTAAGAAATTCAACCGAGAGATGGAGAGAAATCTTGACAGAGCAAATGCATGTTTTGCACGCAGGGGGCCTGGGTTCAATCTTTGGTACCTGGGAGGATCCTCCCAGGCAAGGACAGCAGTAAACCTGAGCACAGACCCTGAAGCATTCTCTGAGTATCTCTAGTTATGATCAAAAACAGGAGGAGGAGGAAGAGGAGGAGGAGGAGGAGGAGGAGGAGGAGGAGGAGGAGAAGAAGAAGAGAGAGAAGAAGAGAGAAGAAGAGAGAAGCAGAGAGAAGAGAGAAGAAGAGGAGGAGGAGGGGTGATAGTAATGGAGAATTTTAACCCCCCAAAAATCTGTCTCTCACTTTCTGGAAGGGACATTTATCCTGTCCCAAAGCTCCAGGTCAATCAGGACATTGTTTCCTGCAGTTTCACCGGAAAAAAAGGGCAGGAGGCTCTGGAGGTTCCAACCCCCTCCCACAGGAAGCCTGTGCACAGAGGTGTGACCTCTGGAGGCTCCATGAGTCCCTTGTTTGTCTGGCAAATACTTGCTCATCTTTCAAGACAGCTCCAGTGACACCTCTGGGAGGTCCCAGCTTCCTCTTGGCACTTGTGACACTTCTGCCCTCTGCACCTGCCCAGCACTCAGGCTGCACAAAACTCAAATATCACCAACCCCATTTTATCCGGTTATCTGTTTACCTATCAGAATGCAATTCAATAAAGTTCCGCGAGAGAGGGCAATGCTGGATTCAGCAGCTCGAGATAGGCAGAACTTTGGCCCTTAGAAGTGGTTTCTACTAACAGCTGTGCAAAGACTGACAGTTCTGGTGAGCAGTAGGAGAGATAACAGGAAGGAGAGGCCGGGAACCTCTGGCATGGGGAGGAGGGAGGCCAGGAGGGCCCCTATCCCCTCTGTGGCTTGCTGCCAACCCCACTCATTATTGGAGAGGCACTATGTGATTTCCAAGGCTCCCAAAAGAGATGCTTGGAAGCAGAGCAGACGATTCAGTTGTATCTTGCATATAACATAGTACAGATCATCGTCATGCTGGGGAGACAAATCATTGATCCTGGATTCAACAGTCCTCCCACAGAGCAGGTTACTAACACCCGGGGGGCTGCTGGGGCATGGGTGAAGTGGGGGGGAATCTATGGGAAAAGGCACGGAAGTTGCCTGGGCTGAGGCCACTCACCAGTTTAATTTGGCATTATTAGACCTGCTACCGAGAGTATCTTGCCTGCGCAGCAACGCCAAACACAGTAACAAGTCTCAAAATGGAGACGTTACTGGGCCCACTCGAGCAAATCGATGAGCAATGGGAGGACAGTGTATTAGACCTGCAGGCTCCTGGGCCCCCGCCCAAAAACGCAAAACCCAAAACCATCTTAACTAGACTGTTGTTCTCCACAGGAGCTGGTGGCCATCCAGTCCTGCACTTCTCTGTCAGCTTCCTCTGTGCAGTTCATCTCGGATTACATCTGGCAGATGGAAGGAGGCTTCTCATTTCAAGCCTCTGGCACCTGCATCCCAGAATCCTCTCCAGGCAGCCTCTAAATCCTCCAGAGAGAGAGAGAGAGAGGGAGGAGGAAGGATCATCGGGCTCCCAGAGATGAGCGTCTAGAGTATTTCTCAAATTTTCATCTTCAACGTCTTGGATCATCTAACTCCCTGGGGGGTGGAGGGGGGAGAGACTGCCTTCGAGCTGGGGCTCGCAATATAATCTCGCCAGCCTGATGCCACAATATCAATTACAGGTTCACTTGGATGATGGAATAAATTGGCGTTGGGACCAATGCAGAATAAATTGAGGGGATGGGCAAGGGCCAGAGGGGACTGAGCCTCAAAACAGATGTGACAAAAAAGAAAAGTTAAGCCACATTCTTGGAATCCTAGAAAATTTGGTAATTTCCTTTGGAAACGACTCTTTGTCTTGTGGAAGAAACTCACCGGCAACTACATGGAAACACAGGTCTCTGGAGAAGTCATTTTCCCCAAGGGCCTGCTGGGACCAAGAGTGACAGGCCCAAGGCCCCTACCTCTCCCGGGATAATAGGAGCAGGAGAGTGAAGACAGAAATGACATGATTAAAAAGAAAAGCATAACCAGATACAGAAGATTAGAAAAGCAAATGATTCCCCTTTGTGTGTGTGTGTGTGCGTGCGTGTGCGTGTGTGTGTGTGTGTGTGTGTGTGTGTGTGTGTGACACCTGGTGACGCACTGGCTCTGCACTCAGGAATTACTCCTGGCGGTGCTCAGGGAACCATATGGGATGCTGGGAATCGAACCCGGGTCGGTCGTGTGCAAGGCAAACACCCTACCCACTGAGCTACCGATCCAGCCCCAGATGATCCCTTTTTGATGGATAAGCTGAGTCAGTTTACGGGCACAGAGAAAGAAAGAAAGCAGATTGGTTGCTGTGAGGGGTGGAGGAGAGAGAGATAAAGAGTCATGGCAGAATGGGTAGAGTGTTCTGTTTTGGGTGATGAAATGAGATATGAGACAGGTGGTGGTTGTACGTTTGAGAATAGACTAAATGCCACTGAACTATTCACTTTAAAACGACTGATTGTGGGTCAGAGAGATCAAACAGGGGCTAAAGAGCTTGCCCCATTTCCATCTCGGCAGTACCTACTGTCCCCTGAGCACTGCCAGGTGTGGCCCCCCCCCCAAACAAAATAAAATAAACAAAATGATTGACTTTATTGTGTGAATTTTGCCAGAATGCAGGCTGCAATCTAGACTGCTTGGCTATCAGTTATTAGAAGTTTAAAAGGAATTTCTTTTAAGTAAATGCATACCATTCCCGAATGGTAAGAGGGCAGACAAGGTCTCACGGTTCTAATATTTGTCACCCTTTGGCCTTTCTTGTCAAAACCCTGGAATGTGCTGAAAATCCTAGACATTTCCTAGAAGGTCTGTCATTCCCACTAGCTGGTGGCCCCTGGCTTCCTGGCGCTCACCACTTGTCTGCTTGCGTGCGCTTGGATGATGAGGCGTCTATAAAGGACACCCCTGCCTCCTCCTCCCTGCCCTCCCTTGTCAGCTATGTGATCTGTGGGGGTGGCATCAGACATAAACTCTGGCTTGCTTTAACTCCATAGAAAAATAAAAAGGCCTCGTTCTTTCCACACACATTTAGGAGCTCAGAAAATAGCCGTGAACACTGAAAGAGGCCTCTGGGGGAGAGGTAGAGTTCCCCGCTCTCCCACACTCTTTTTTTTTTTTTTTTACTTGTTTTGCTACTAGAACATCTGATTCAACATACTGACCCAGAGCACTCAGCTGTTCAGTGGAAATAGAAATCCAATACTTAAGGGACACAAAATCCGTACAATGAACAGGAATAAGAAAGGAAACTTGAGGGGCTCGAGACATAGTACAGGGGTTAAGGCACTTGCTTTCCATGCAGTGACCCTGGTTCGATTCCCAACACCACAGGGTCCCCTACGCATGGGCCTGTGCAGCCCTGGAAGCCCCTCGCCCCCAGCATGGTGGGATGTCCTGGGTATCCCAGCACCACACTCTCGGGCCCCTGCCCTGAACAGTTAGCCCAGTGGGTGAGACTCACTGATGGAACCCCAGCCCTCCCGAGCAAGCTTGAAACACAGTCTTCCCCAAAGAAAGGAACCTTAAAAAGGAAGACTTAGGCTACCTTTCTCCCTCCCACCCCAAGAAACGGCTGACAATTATATTTAGGAAAAGCAGGTAGAAGATCACCCACCCTTACCTCACACCGTCCCCATCTCTCCACACCATACAGTCAGGTCCACACACAAACGGCCCTCCAAACCCTCACCCAACCATCTTCTGAATCATAAGACATCTCACACTCTACTCTTTGGACTGACTTCTAATCTTCCCGGGTTTGACCTTAGGACTCGTTTGTTCCAACTATGGACTTGTGTCACCTGCCAGACTCAACACTCAGCTTTGAGCATTTGCTGCCTTGTCCAAAATTTCCATGGTCCTCTGAAACTGCTACCTTTGGTGATTTCATCCACATTCAGCCTCGCCCAGAAGGTCCCTCATTTCCAAGTCCTTTCAGGGAATGGAAAAAAGGGTTCGTTCTGTTTCAGGGTACCCTTCTTTTTCTCAGGTCCAACCCTAAGACTGAGCACCAGCTGAGATTCTGGTGTTGATTTCTGGCTCAGAAATGGCTGGACAAGCATCATAGGATGAAGGGGGTTTAAAATTATACTAGAAAAGCAAAATCCATTAAGCACTTGAAAAAGATCCTCGACTTTTATTGGCAATATGCCAAATGACTCAGAAAGCCCATCTATTCATTTATTTGGGGGGCGTTATTTGAGAAATAAACACGTGATCCTCTTACAAAATGTATTATACATCATAGCAACGGCAGTTCTGTTTTTCCATGAAATTTTCTACAAGAAGGAAGAAGCAACTGTTTGGCTGTGAGGGGCTAGAATGCAACGTGGGTGTAGAAAGGGGTCTCTTCTCCCTTTGCTGGAGTGCTGAGTGGCAAGTCTGAGATATAGTGTGGGAGCCCCTAGGGTGGAGGGTAGCAGATATGTATGTGTGAAAGTCTGGCCTGGGCCACTGCAATGCCCTGTCGTCTGCACCATCTGCTCCAGCCACGTGGCTCAGGAGTTCGGGTAAAATTGCACTGACTGAGCACTTCTGCTTACTACCTCTCAGGAGCATGTCACTAAAGTGCATGAACTCCACAATCTGATGGGAAGGGTGACACCCAGTGTGGATTATGTAAGGCAGCTGTGACTGGTTCCAATGTGTTCCCCAGCGAGATTTACTGAAGTCCTAAGTCCTCTCCCTCAGAAGGGTGCTTACTAGGAACCAGGGTGCTGGGGTGCTGTTCATTCAGGGTGTCTGGGGTCCTTATAAAAGGAAATGGAAAACACATCACATGGGTGAAGGCCATGCCATGACAGGGCAGAGACTGTGGGAGGTCAAGGGGGCGATGCAGGCCGAAGGGTGTCGGCGATGAATGCCCACAAGTTGGCATAAGGCAAGGAAGCATTCTCCCCACCAAAGGTCTCAAAGAAGGCGTGGCTGGGCTGAGATTTTGGATTTCACGCCTGGAAACTGACACAATAAACTTCTATTCTTTTCAGGCAGCCAGTTTATGGAACTTGATTACAAAGAGCAGTGGTAAACTAATATAATGGTGGAGGAAAACCTTTTGTGTGTGTGTGTGTGTGTGTGTGTGTGTGTGAGAGAGAGAGAGAGAGAGAGAGAGAGAGAGAGAGAGAGAGAGAGAGAGAGAGAGAGAGAGAGAGCAAGCGAGCTGGAGATGCAACACACAGAATAAGCCAGGTAAGCAGGTAAATAGGAAGAAAACAAAAGCAGCATAAAGTAAACACAGGAAACGAAATTTCTCTGTCTCTAACCCATACAAATGTCAAATGAAGATATTTCCTTAGGAGCTAACAACGTCTTTCCAAACATACCTTCCACTACTTTCCTTGCCTCTTGGTTAAAGTGTTCTGGCTTTTGGGCTGTTCCTGGAACATCCCATTCCGTCCCCTGCTCAGGCATTTAGCATCAGTTGTTCATCGACTCCCTCAGACCCATTCAGAATGAACTGGTGACTTCTTGTCTTGCCTTCCTGAGCTCCGCCCTCACCATCCCCCTGGACACTGGATTTGTCCTCCAACCCCATCCACCAATTCTAATTCCCCTTGCTGGAGCTCTTCTCCCCTCCCCGAAAATTCCTTTAAATTCTTTTTTGTTTTTCTTTCAATTTTTTTTCTCATGGACCACCAATAGAGCAGGGTCCAGGCTGTTCCCTTCTATCAGGCTATCCCTGTGCTTGAAGGAAGACCAACACTGCTTCCTAACTAAGCTGGATCTCCGTTTCAGCTCACACCCCCTTGATTTTTGTTCGACTATAATATACTAACGATTTACATATTTCACACTTAACTATTTATTATAATACCTGGTGAAGGCATTCTTTATTATCTGTTCCCTCTATGCTGGGATACATGACATGCTTCAAGAGGGCTGAAGCTTTTCCTGTATTGTTCATGAATAGGAATAAGCATCTAGAATGGTCCTCAATTCACAATGGCTGCTCAGCAAATATTTTCAGCCCATGATTTTATTGTAATTTGGGAGGTGGGGCTTGGACCACATCCACACCCAGCAGGGCTCAGGAACTAATTCTTTTCTTTCTTTATTCTTTTTTTTGGGGGGGGGTGGTATTTGGGTTTTGGTCACATCCAGCGCTGCTCAGGGAACCATATGCAGTACAGACGGCTAAACCAGGCAAGCATATTTGCCCCTGTACTCTCTCACCAGCCCTTTAATTTATTTTTAACACTACTTTATCACTATAGAGGCTTTACATGTACATCATAAAATGTTAGAAAAAAAATCCAAAACTTCAAATTCCCACCATTCAATGTATGGATATGTATAATAATGTATCTCCTACATTATAATAAACCAGAATTTTTTAAAACTTTTTTTAAAATTGACTCTCTAAGAAATCCTGCCTCTGGAGAAGTGATGTCTTTATAGGGTTAACACTCACATGTGGCTTGTCTTGTGGATTAAAATGAAATAATGTATCCAAATGCAGTGTCTTCCATCATAACTAATAGAGATGATGGTTATTTTTTTTCTTTGATCTTGCTTTTAACTTTCATCTTTCCCCCCAATTTCTGAAAAAGCAGACAGTAGTTAACTGTGGCCCAAAGGATGATAGAACACTGTTGTTATGGGGAAGGCAAACTCAGGAAAGGCTGCCCCTTCCAGCACTGTAGATCAAGACACCAAACGCACGGTACCAGCTTCCAGCCCAAAGACACTGCAAGCTCCAGGCCATTAACTATTCTATGAACTTTTAATAAAACAACAAAACAACAAAGCAATGGTTACTGCGTTTTCATATTACACTTCCTTTTGCAAAACATGAAGTTTTACTATAAAGTTACAGATGAAAGAATACATGTTCCAAGAATTCAAATAACTCCATGTGAACCAGCCGGTACATAGAAAGTGCTAGAAATTAAATGTTTATAATTAGAAGTTCCAGTGAGTATCAAAGACTTTTTAATTTGATATTTTGTGAATGCATAATATCCTTTTCTAGAATCCCACCCACTGTAAATAAAGTATGTTAGTGTTTTCTCCATGAATTACTTCCTTCCCCAAACTCTGAACAAGTGACTTACCTATCCTGACAGCCACACATGCAAAACTGTCTTCTTGTGAAGAGAAGAATGTGGTGTTCAATGTGTCAGAAAACAGGACACGTCATCTAGAAAGTCTGGGAATCACTGCTCTTGTGAACTGTTGAGAAAAAAAAAAGACATCAAGAGTTTTGTATCTTCAATCCTCTCTAGGGGATGTTTTCAAAATGAATCTCCTCCATTCCTTGGCAGAAGTCAGTACAAAAGAGTTATTTTGCTGGTGTTTCCAATTAGACTTAGTAATATTAAATTTGCATGACTTAGTCTAAATTTATTCTAGGGCCTCAGAAGCATTGATTATAAATGGTTTCCACTTCTGAAGGGACTAAAAGAATCCTGTTCATGAATATTGAGGATCCTAACACACAGACTTCTCACATTTATTCTTCATGGTAATTTAGATAAGATTGAAGACACAAATTCAACCTAGTGGAGAAGTGATGACCGTAATCATCACATTATTTCCTTCCCCAGAGGTAGCAAAGGCATTCAAATACCAATCACAGAGTTAAATAGGTTAATGGACTCCCTGTGGGTAGGGCAAACACAATCTCTTCTAAACATGTCAGAATGAAAACTGCGACATAATGACTATAGATTTGTTCTTATTTTTGTTTGGGGGTCACATCTGGTGGTTCTCAGAGGTTACTACTAGCTTCAGGCTCGAGAAGGCTGTGGGTCGCTCCCAGAAAATGCTGGGGGACCGTGTGGTACGGGGGATCAAACCCAGGCCTTCCACATGCAAAGCATGAGCTCACCCCATTAATTTCAGCCCATGACTGGAGATTTTAACTGGTATGTAAATGTTCAGGAAAATACCCCAGATTAAGCATGCCCTTTGCAAAACTCAGGACAGATGGCAACATCTGGTAAATGAATCCACTTAAAATCCCTTCAGGAGTGTTGGGAGGATCCTCCCAGGATGGGAGAAGCATGCTGAAAGTAGACTATAGACCAAATATGATTGCCACTCAATGCCTCTTTTGCAGACCACAACACCCAAAAGGAGAGAGAGAACAAAAGGGAATGCCCTGCCACAGAGGCAGGGTGGGATAGGGAGGATGAGGGGTGGGAGGAATACTGGGATCCATGGTGGTGGGAAATGGGCACTGGTAGAGGGATGGGTACTTGATCATTGTATAACTGAAACCCAAGCACAAAAATTTGTAAGTCTACAACTGTACCTCATGGTGTTTCACTAATAAAAATTAAAAAAATATATTTGAAAATAAAATAAAATAAAATCCCTTCAGATCTCAGGCTGACCGTGGATGCCTAACTCCTGAGAGCTCTTAGAGGGATTCCCTGTAGACTTAGTGAATTCCCACTTCTGGTTCTAAAATGGGGACTAGCTTGTAACAAACCAACTTCACACTGACCTCAACTAGAAACATCTGGATAAAAATTCTATTGAGCTGGAAGAAGACAATAAAGGGGGTAAGGCGCTTGCCTCACATGCAGCTGACAATAGTTCAATCCCCTGTACCATGTTGCCCTCCAAGCACTGCAGTCTTAGAGCTCCTCCAAGTGCCACCAGGGTACCCTGGGTCATGTCCAGCACCGCAGACTTCAAGCAGCAATGCACCCTCAGGCCCTCAAACTAAACTGTGACCCAAATGGCTGAGAATGACCAAGAGGAGTCGCAGACCCTGAGCACTGTTTGGGAGACCCCCATTCCCCACACCCCTCCAGTATGTTACAAGTCACCATCACTTGGTAATTCTTGACTTTTATTCTATAACCCATATGTGGTTAATTTCTGAAATTGTTAAAAGTTTACATTAAAAAATAAGTAGTTATAGGTGCTGTGTATAGTATCTATATAGATTAATAGGCTCAAGTTTATTCCTTGTTGTTAATTTTTTTTCTATTCTTACACATTTTTTCCTCCTTCTATGAATTACTGAAGTATGTGCCAAAGTCTTTTACAATCTCCATAACTTTGAACATATTTGACAGTTTTATTTTTTTTAATGGTCTTTATCTTGGGCCGAAGAGACAGTACAGAGGACAAGCAAGGCCTTGCATGCTGCTGATTCAGGTTCAATCTTCAGCATCCCATATGGTCTCCAAAAATAACTAGAAGTAACTCCTGAGTGCAGAGACAGGAGTAAGCCTGCGCATTGCTGGGTATGGCCCCCAAACAAAAATAAAAGGTATGCATCTTAACCCCTGTACTATCTCTCTGGCTCCCATACAGTATATAAAGGATAAAGGATAAAGGCCCTCCCGTTGATCATCGATTTGCTCGAGCGGGCCCAGTAACGTCTCCATTGGAGACTTTGTTGTTATTGTGTCTGGCATATTGAATACATCACGGGGAGCTTGCCAGGCTCTGCCGTGGGGGCGAGATACTCTCGGTAGCTTGCCGGGCTCTCCGAGAGGGGCGGAGGAATCCAACTCGGGTCGGCCATGTTGGTTGCATGCAAGGCAAATGCCCTACCGCTGTGCTATCGCTCCAGCCCTACAGTATATATTTTCAGTATTTTTTTAAAAAATTATTATATCATTCAGGCACTGTAATTTACAATACTAATAAGGATAGAATTGCATGAATACACTGTTTTACCACCACACCCTCCACCAGAGAACTTAACTTACTGAAATAATATATTCAAAAAAAATTCGTACTTTTAAGAAAGAAGAAAATTTTACATGGAATTAAATATATTGATTTTAAATATAGTTTAATACATTTTGTTAAAGGAATCCAATAATAAATACAATAAAATTAAAATATAGGGCATTTCTGTTACTTCACAACGTTCCACATGCTCCTTTTGGCCATTTCCTACATCCCAAAGGCAACCATCACTTTCATGATCTTAGATTTGTTTTGGTGGTTCTTGATCTTTGTACCAATGAGCTCAGACAGAACAGACTGTTTTGTCTGGCTTTTTCACTCAATAATGTCTCAGATTCATCCACAATTGAGTGGATCAACACTTTACCCTCTCTACCGATCAACAATAGTTTACTATAAGACAATACCACAGCATTCAAAATATGCTCCCATAAATGAAGTTTTGGTTCTTTCCAAATTTATGAATAAAACTGGTATAACTATTCTCATCCAAGTATTTTCTTAACATATATTTTCATTTCTTTTTGAAACAAACTAGGAATGGAGCTGCTGAGTCTTTCAGGCTGATGGATATTTGAGTTTATAAGGAAACAGCCAAACATTTTCTACAAGAGCTTTATTATCTTCATTCTATTCCGGATCATACACAACATAGACTTGTCAACATGTGGTGCAGTCAGACTTCTAGCTCGAGCCCTTCAAGGGTGAAGCTTTAATGTGCATTTACCTGGTGACTAAGAATAAGAGCTTTTTGTATTTCTTCTTTTGGTTGTGTTTGGTCAAGTCTTTGGTGCATTTTAAATTGTTTTTTTTTAGGGACCAGAGTGATAGTACATCAGAAAGGGCACCTGTATTGCATTCAGCTGACCCAGCCTCAATCCCTCGCATCCCATATGGTCCCCTGAGCACCACCAAGAGGAGTGCAGGACCAGAAATTATCCCTAAGCATCACTGGGCATGGCCCAAAAACTTAAACCAAAACCAAATAATTTTTTTTAAAATGTTGATTTATACAAATTCTTTGTATATCTGACATGCCAGTCCTCAATCAGATGTTGTTTCAATTTATTTTTATTTGGGGGATGGGGGCACACCCAGTTGTGCTCAGGACTTATTTCTGGCAGTGTTCAGGTGATCAAACCTGTTGGTTGTTTATAAGGGAAGCACCTTATCTATAATGCTATCTCTCTGGCCCACCTTCTCAATTTTTAAAGTTGTTTTTCATTTTCTTTAAAAAATTCGAGAGCTACCAAGCTCTACAATACTGATAAAATAGTTGAAGCACACCAGATTGGATGGAATGTATCTTAGAAGGCAACTGATCTTTTTTTGAATCTGTGGTTGTTTTTTGTTTTGTTTGGAGGTGATACCTAGTCTTAGTCCTGGCTTGCACACAGGACTTACTCAGGCTCTGCACTTAGAGATTACTCCTGGCAAGGCTCGGGAGACCATAGGGGATGCTGGGGATCAAACCCAGGTTACGTCAGTGCAAGCACAGCACCCTACACACTGTCCTATCATGCTGGCCCCTAAATATCACAATACTTTTAAGATAATCTTAGAACAGTAATGAAGAGTAGCACTGCACTGTCCTCCCATTGTTCATTGATTTGCTCGAGCAGGCCCAGTAATGTCTCCATTGTGAGACTTGTTACTGTGTTTGGCATATCGGATACATCATGGATAGCTTGCCAGGCTTTGCTGTGTGGGCAAGATACTCTTGATAGCTTGCCAGGCTCTCCGAGAGGGACAGAGGAATTGAACCCAGGTCGGCCGTGCTGGCTGCATGCAAGACAAACGCCCTACCGCTGTGCTATTGCTCCAGCCCAAAAGGCAACTGATCTTAACAAAATATAAACTATAAACATAGAAGACTTAACCTGTAACATCTTAGTAATCTCTTAAACAAGGACTTAATGACTTCACGGTGAGATACAATAATCTTCACTAAGTTTCTTCTAAGGAAACATTTTTGATCATTTTGAGCAAATTATTAATAACAATCAATATTAAATAAATTACTGAGGGCTTGCTATGGGGGCAGGCTTAAGGAATGGTTGGGAAAGTTGGAGACAATGGTGGAGGGAAGGTATAATGGTAGTGGGATTGGTGGTGGAATATTAAATGCCTGTAATAAATCATCACGAACAACTTTGTAAACCACAGTGTTTATATAAAGTCGAAGGGAAAAATTGGAAAAAAATAATTAAAAAACAAAAGCAAATTTAAAAAAGGCAAAAAAAAACACTAAGAAGGTGAACAAAAATAAAATATATTGATAAGAAAAAACCAACCGAGAGCTACCCCAAGTAGTACTTGCAGGCTCACTCTGGGAATCACATGTAGTCAGGGCTAGAAGCCAGGTCTCTGGCATGCAAGCATGTACTCAAGTCCTCTGAGCAATCTTCCTGACAATCTTCTGATCAGCAGAAGTTTTTGCTATTTCACATAACCTGAAAATTATATACCTAGGTGATGGTATATTACACCTTGCAAAAAATAACTAAGCATATAAA